GAGTAGCAAGGAACGAGACAAATCAAGGTAGACAAGATAATCTACGAGTTGTCAAGTGCGCGGCGGATATCGCAACGACCTACCCTGAACTTGTATGCATAGGAAGCTATCCTCAGGCGATGAAGTCCCACAAGGTTCCTTTCGAACTCGCTGACAAGACCGTCATCCGGAAAGCACCTTACAATATGTCAAGGGAGCGAAAGATGTGGCTCAAGAAAGAGTTGCAGGAGATGCTAGATGCTGATATCATACGACCTTCGGTATCACCCTTCGCTTCTCCCATAACGATCGCACCGAAAGAAGACGGAACCTTCAGATTATGCACCGACTACAGGGTTCTCAATCGTCAGACAGAACTCATACCATTTCCTATGCCGAAGATCGACACAATTATAGATGAGACCGGGGGTTGCCGACATTTTTCCCGCATCGATTTATGCAAAGGTTTCTGGCAGATCCCACTAACCGAAGAAACAAAAATGTACACCGCTTTTATCACGCCATTCGATCTCTACGAATACAACCGGCTCCCTTTCGGTTGGAAAAACTCGCCAGCGTGGTTCCAGAAGATCATGAACGACGTCCTAAAGCCATTCCTTGGTGTTTTTTGTAATGTGTACATAGACGACATTATAGTCTTCTCCAAAACAGAGGCTGAGCATCAGGACCATCTGTCTCAGGTGTTAAACGCCTTGAGCTTGGCACATCTCAAGGTTAATTTTAAGAAGAGTGTATTCTTTCAACAAAAAGTGGTGTTTCTTGGAAGAGTCTTCGATGGGAACACCAAAAGCACAAAACAAGAGTCCGTCGAGAAGATCTCCCAGTTGAAGAAACCATATGACGTCCATTCACTGCGTGTGTTTTTGGGATTGGCAGGACATTTCCGATCTTTCATAAAGGACTTTGCTGTCAAAACTAGATGCCTCACGCGCTTAACGCAGAAAGAAGTTCCCTTTGAATGGAGTGACGAATGTGAGAGAGTCTACCGTGACTTGGTGCACAGAATTTCTTCTGACCCCGTTCTGCGTATACCAGATTTCACTTTACCCTTTGAATTGAACACTGACGCCTCACATTATGGGACTGGTGCAGTGTTGTATCAAAAATGTATTGAAGCATCTGGCCGAGAAAAGCGACACGTAGTCGGTTACTACAGTTACACTTTCAAGCCGTCTGAAACAAACTACACTACTACGGAAAAAGAAGCACTGGCGGTTCTGAAGGCCGTTGACTACTTCCGCACGTACCTGGAAGGTACGAAGTTCACTTTGTTCACCGATCACCAGGCACTCACTCATCTCTTGAATATGACCCAAACTAAAGGGCGTATCGCCAGATGGGTGAATTACTTGCAGCAATTTGACTTTACCATCTCGCACCGACCAGGACCGCTTTTAACCGATGCAGATGCTCTATCAAGATTGATGGTACAAAACAACACAGAAAAATCTGAAGAAATCAATGAAGTGAAGCTGTGGGAAGGCTCAGAACAACTGGTTTTTACGGAAGGTCGGTATCAAGTCCCACCAACTCTTGTTTCCAAAGTGCTTTACTTGTACCACGATAGCCCAGAATCTGGAGGACACGACGGCTTTTGGCGTACCTACAACAAGTTGGTCAAGAGGTTTACGTGGCCTCACATGAAGAAAGACGTTAGTCAGTACGTTCGTTCATGCCATGTGTGTCAAGTACACAAAGTCAAGTATAAACAGCCTACGGACACCATGATACTACCTTGCCACTCGAACGTGCCTTTTGAAGTAGTTCACCTGGATTTCGCCGAACTTAACAAGAAACGGGAAGGAGTCAGAAAAACGCAAGCTTTTCTGCTGGCCATAGATGAATGCACCAGGATGGTCGCGGCACGAGCAGGAAAAGAAGATGCAAATAGCGTCATAACCCTTCTCGAAAGGGACATGTTTAGAACTACGCGGACAATCGTATGCGATAACGGCCCCGCGTTCAAGAGTGAAAAGCTAGTAAGATGGGCTCGAGATCACAATGTATCGATCAAGTTCTGTGCGCCATACCATCCTGCGGCGAATGGGCTTGCAGAACGTGCCATACGGGACGTGAAACAATACATCAAGATGTACGATAGTTTTCCTGGGGGATGGAAATGTTCTTTAGAAGCAGCCGTAAAACATCATAACCGATCCTACACCAGTGGCTTGGGGTGCAGTCCACAGTACGCTTCTACAGGAGAGACCCCTATTCTGCAGGCAGACCGTGAGTTGGGACTCTTGGAAAACCTCAAGATTGTCGAGGAGAGGCAACAAAAATCACAGGAGGAGAGGTACCGAAAACGAATGAAAAAGAATTTCGACAAGAGGCATCGAGCAGACATGCCAGACATTCAAGTCACCGACCTCGTACTAGTGAGAAAAGGAATAAGAGATTCCAGTGCCAAATTTTATGGGCCTTACTTTGTGACCAAGACAGCCACCCAGAACGGAATTTTGAAGACTGTCTGGTACACTGGTGAACGTGGATCTGTTGAATGTGCTTCAATTGGGAATGTCTTCAAGTATTACCCCAGGAGGGGTAATTAAAAGAAAGCGGGAAGGGTGAAGCGGTATGAGCCTTTGGACAGAAGATGAAGAAGCGCGAGGGCCGGGGCAGGAAAGAAGAGGGGGATGAAGAAAAAAATAAAGCAGATTAAGATGGACGCCAGTTCCATACTGAAGCTTTAATGCTGTTCCGTTATTTTAAGTAGGAACACTACATCTATGCCGATTTACACCTTGTGCAAAATCCTTTCAAGTGTACTCATTTTGAGCACACCTCCTTTAACATAACCAATATAATAATCCTCATACATCCATAATATATGAAGCTAAAACAATCTTGTTTGTTTTCTCCTAGCACAACAAATACCGTATTTACTCGCATAATCGGCGCACTCGCATAATAGGCGCACCCCTAGTTTGGTCGCGGAAAATTCGATTTTTGTTAATTCCGCGCATAATAGGCGCACCCCGAACTTGGCTGTGATTAGAAACGATTCTACCCCCCAGCGGTACAGTTGGAACGCGGTCCCCGTACCCTGAAGAAAAAAAGAAGGCAAATCGACGAGCAAATAAAAAAAATTCGAAGTGCAACGACCTAACCAACGTGTTTGTCGAAATAAAACTTGAAAAAAAAAAAAGCGTCCATGAGCGAAAAAAAAAACGGCTGTTCCATCAATTACTGATACCCCCCAAATCGCCGCGCTTTTTGGAGGTCACGTGTACAACGCCGGGGGCTCGATCGCCATCACCACCATCAGAGAAAAAGAAAAACGCCATTTTGCAAGCGGTGTGCGTATGTTGTGGTCGTGTATTGAACTTTGGTTCTACCATGGGGAAGTACGCGAGCTACACGGCTGGGTTTAAACTGAAGGCAGTGCAGTACGCGCTGGAGCACGGCAACCGGGCTGCAAGCAGGCATTTCGGCGTTGGAGAAACCAGTATTCGGTACTGGAGGGACCAAGAAGAAAAACTTTAGGCGACGAAGAAGACACGACGGGCTTTCCGCGGTGCCAAGACCGGCAGGTATCCGAACGTCGAAGAGCAACTGGTCCGGCATATACGGGAGCTACGACAAGACGGCTGTGCTGTGTCATTGGATATTGTGCAGACTGAGGCGCGCAGAATAGCCCGAGCGCAGGGCATCGAAGCGAAAGAGTTCAAAGCCAGCTTTGGATGGACAACTCGTTTCATGCAGCGCCATGGCCTCGCACTGCGAAGGCGGACCACCTTGTGCCAGCGCTTGCCCGCAGCATATGAGGACAAAGTAGTGGACTTCCACAGTTTTGTTATAAAGCTCCGACAGCAGAAAGACTTCATCTTGTCCCAGATCGGCAACGCTGATCAGACCCCCCTTTGCTTTGATATGCCGTGGAACACGACAGTGGAGGAGAAAGGTGCACGGAGCGTCATCGTCAGAACGTCTGGCGCTGATAAACAACGATGCACCGTAATGCTGGCGGTGACAGCGGATAGGCGTAAGCTACCGCCTTACGTTATTTTTAAACGTAAGACGCTCCCAAAGGCAAAATTCCCTCAAGGCATCTACGTCAGAGTCCAGGAAAAAGGCTGGATGAGCGCGGAACTCATGGTGGATTGGGTGAAAACAGTCTGGGGTCGGCGGCCGGGTGGTCTGTTGTTGCCGTCCATGCTTGTCCTGGACAGTTTTCATGGGCACCTAGTAGACCGCGAGATGAGCTAAAGGAGCTGCGCACATATCTGGCAGTGATTCCGGGCAGCCTCACATCAATACTGCAGCCTTTGGACGTGTCCTTGAATAAACCTTTCAAGGACAATGTTCGAAGGCTGTACACCACCTGGATGGCTGGAGGACAACATCAGCTGACTCCAGGTGGTAAGATTAAGAGGCCGCCTGTGGAAATGCTGTGCGCTTGGATTGTGGAAGTGTGACAGGCGATCTCCGACGAAGTCGTCAGGAAAAGCTTCAAGAAGACGGGTATCTCGAACGCACTGGATGCGAGTGAGGATGACATGTTGTGGGATGCGGATGATTCGGACACCGAAAACAAGTCCCCGCTCGGCGAGGATGAATGTGCGATCTCCGACTCGGACTCCGAATAGGGAAAAGGAGGAACAGCTACGACTTTAGTGTAAATAAATTTTACGTGTGTGTGTGCAGTTGATGGCTCTCGCTTGTTCATTAAAAGGTACTTAGGTATGTTTGTTTTATGCTGAATTAATTGGTAAACGATAAAGTCGCCTTTTACTTGACAAGTGTGCAGATTTAAAGCGCGAGAACCGAGTTGCAAAAATTTTCGAAAATTTTACCCCGCGTAATTGGCGCACCTCTAACTTCGAGCCGGATTTTCTGAAAAAAAAGTGCGCCTATTATGCGAGTAAATACGGTATAATGAATCAAACCCTTCCAACTGGAGCACGTGGGTAATAAATGCATTTTTAGTACCACATACAAAGCACCTTCTATTAAGCACCAATTTGCAGCTAATTCAGTTTATTTACTTGCCAACATACCTCTCTCCAGTTGGAAACATTGTCAGTAGGCGACACTTCCACTGCAAATAAAGTCAAGCACAATCCTTAGGCGACAGTGCCAAAAAAACATTTTTTTTTTTTCACGAAGAGGAAGAAAAGAACATACCAGAGGGAAAGTTCTTTAAAAACAGCTTTCGCCAAAGCACAGGATTAGATGCCAGTTCAAATAAATCTGTGTTTACTCCAGAAGCAGCCAGCAAGTCTCGCACATTCAGGTAACCCAAAATAAGAAGCTAATGAGAAAGAGAAACAGTGCACATTCAATCAAAATGAGGCCCAGAAAATCTATCAATGCAACGAGAAACAAAGAAAGAAAACACTAAACTGCTTATAAATTGCTGCCACATACCTGGATCTCAGAGCTCAAAGTCATGAATCCAAAAGTGGGAGCAACATTCGTGACTGCAAACAATGAAGGTCACACAAGTTACTTTCCAGGTATCCACAACATGAAAAAACTAAATTTATGACCATTCATATGTAAGCAATTAGTGCAGACTGTAAAAACCACATTATTTGTGTATAACTTCATCTAGAGACACAAATTAGAACCTAGACTGCCAGCACTACATTTCGGATGTTTTATACCGTTCTTATGTTAACTCATGTAATATCCAGTTATTATTATTGTTATTATTATTATTATTATTATTACTACTACTACTATTATTACATTACAGGGTGCAGCTCTAATACAAGTTGAGCACATGATGGTTTATATTTGTGGTTTGTGCGGTTCGAGCCAGCTCACCAGTGACGATGGCTGCTGTATTGCTTCAAAACAGATGGGCACTTTCAGGAATCGCCGATAAATAGCGTTTATTATTTCAATGGGATTCAGTCACTGCCACGGCATTTTCTGTGGGACAGCAGTGCAGTGCATTTAGCGAGTCACTGAGCTTACAATGCTGAACTAAAGAGGCTTTGTTAACTTGACAGTGACTATCTGACAAGTCTGAGAACAACATTGCAAGAAGATGCCAGCACAAATGGGGGCTGTAAATTGTGCATATTAAAAATTTAGCACTGTGGATTGTGCTCCATTTCATCCTTTGTGGCTACGGAAATTACTATTGATAGATCCCATCACCACCCTAGTGTTATTTCATCACAACTCTAAAAGATGGTTGTTCTTGATGCTGCCTAGGGTGTTGGATATTCCAGATATATTTCATGATAACTGGCAGTAATTATAAATTATAGCAAATGGCAAATGTTAAAATTCCAATATTTGACTAATTTTCTTTTAATGATGTTCCTAACTTGGCAAACAGGATAAACCAAATCAGTTATAATAAAAGTTTTATCAAAACAGTACATAGAAATGTTAATATAAAATGGCTGTATAGTGACCAACATTTATGTGGCAGCAAAGAGCAGAAAGTATGCATACTACAATAAAATTATGACAATGACATATCTGTGCACATATAGACTGGTAATGATGTGGTGCTAATAGTAAACTAAAACTTCTTAGTGGTGCAGCACAAGAGCCTCACTAAGGCCTCTTCAAACAAAGGTGTCGGGGCATGTACTCTGCATAACATTCAGCACATGCAGTGGCTTCACAAGGGAAGCCATGCTACAAATGTCTTTGATCAATTTTCTGCAGTGTACAAATATTACTGAAGAAATTGAAGACCGGTCTCTTTTGAAGAGTGGTTCTCTGCCAAAAAACACTGCCGGATGTAATGGGTTGTGCTGCCAATACGCTATAAAAAATTATTTTTTCTCCCAGCTTCTGTTTCGCCAAAACTTCACAAGAACATGAAGGGCAGTCAGCCTGTCCTCTCACATAGTTGACTATTCTAGTCTACAATAATTGCGCATACTGAACATGGGCCCTATTTCGAGTCAACTGAACAGGACATCAGTTCACGGCAATTTAGTTACTGGTGATGAAGGTCCTAAGAGAATTTCAAAAAGTGTTAGTAATATTGGGGTTGGAGGCACAAAAGCAACTAAGAAAACACCGTGCCACACACATGGTTAAGTTTAGAAAAAATTTTCTTCATCCCAGAAGTTTTGCCGATAGTGACTTAGTTTTGTTACAAATGCAGTACTTCAAATCTCTGGCAGGTATGGCTGTAAATGGCTAGGAAGCTTGTGCCATTATCAACGTAGAGGTTTTATCTGCCAGCATATCGCCCTGAATGTCAAGACGATGATCCACTGCAATGGCTGTTCTGTCTTATTGCATACAATTGGGAAGATACGCTCACAGTAACTTTGTGTAGGTCAATTCCGTGTACCCTAGCATATGCATAAGTTGTTTATTGCCTCGATCTTTTTACGCAGCAGGGGTGAAAAACAATTACATAAATATCATAAACAAATGTCCTTTGTTATATTTAAGTTAAAAATAAATGTTTTTTGACAGGGTTGCCACCTTACCACTCAAAAAGAAAAGCCGGCTTTCAAGAAAGGGTGGGGTAGGGATACTTATACAGGTTGTTCAATTATTGCTAAAAAAAACAAACAAAATGTTTAATATTTCACACACAATGACATGCACATTGTTTGCCTAGTCAGGATTATAAAAAAAAGCAGTTAGCCAACTGTTCTGTTATATAAAAATATGTGCCGTCTACATATCCCCTACAGCAGCGGTGGATTTATTTGTGTATGCAACTACTTTATGCTAATAGTTACCAAAAGAGAGCACGATACATCGCTCATTGGATGAATTGAACCTTCTGCACAGTAAACATATCTTGATTTAACATCGATGTATTGCGTATTGTTGTAGCAAATTACTCTCATGAAGGCAATGCAATGTTCAATGGGTCGTTTGACGTGCTGCATTCCATAACCAACGTGAACAGTATTTCCTTTTTTTCTCTCAAAATGAGTGCAACTGAAAATGAGTACATTTGGAGCCTATAATTACATTCTTTTGATGTCAAAATAGAATATGACTGTTGGCAGGATAATGAAGCACTTGATTGCATGCTAACTAGAACTAATTGCTGGAACAGAAAACAACACACGGCTTCATTTTCTTTCTTGGACTTTTTACTTAGTGCTGCAGAATTACAGTATGTCAATTCGACACATTTGTAGACTGTGCATAATAACTCACACCTCAAGGAAATATAAGGCTGGTGCACACTGGCGACTAGCAGAGGTCGCGCGACCATTTGGTGTGATGGAGTGCACAGAATTTAAAGCGGGTGGAGTGCGCGGAACTTGAAACAAGGCAAGCGGAATTCGAAGTGCACGTCATGAACCAAGTTCGAAGTCCACAAGGAAGAAGAGCTGGCACAGATGTTAATGAATAACAAAAGATGACTGAAGCGCCAATTCGACACAGACGCAGCATTGTTCAAAGCACGCGCGAGACAGGAAAAAAGAGTCGCAACGATGGCCAGAGGAAGAAGAGCCACGCATCAGGGCGGTCGGGTTACGGACCCGAGCCAAGGCTGCTACCTCCATCGTCCGGTGACCTGAGGGGCTCCAGGACTACCAACCAGGCTGCGCTGACGTTCCCGTGCCCGTGGACAGATCTGAGCTGTCGATCTTCGGGCTCGGGCTCAGGCGAGACTGTCCGGCAGAGACTCTACTAGTGCGTAAAATACAGCATGAGCTTGTGCAGCGTCCACCGGCAGCTTAGGAAGGCCGCTTCTCTTACGGTTCATGTAGCTGCCCAACACCGACGCCAACTACGGCAACGTCAACCCCCATGCTTCGCGCAAGGCTTCCGCTAAACGACGTGGGTAAGACCCCGCTCCTTCACAACTCTCCGTGACCAACTAACTCTCTGCAGGAACTGATTGGTAGGACTTGATGATGAGCGACTAACTTATAGCATGAAGTTTCCTTTGTAACTGTATATAAGAAGTAGGACCAGTTACATTTGGGTTAAATGTTCTCAAGCTATAGTTATTGAATGTTTGTGTCAAACCGACTCGTCCTTCGGGAAGTGTCCCGAGGTGGCTCCTCGAACCTCCCAAATCGAACCTGCATGTTGTGCGAAACAAAAAAAAAAAAAACCACAACGTTACATTGGCATCCGCGACAGGACGAGACCGTTTGCGAACCTGGTTCGAGAGTCCAAAATAGCTTGAAAAATGAGTACGGCAGAATCAACGGTCTTGGCGTTACGCATAGGTTTAGGATGTGCAGAGTTGAAGGCCTGGATTGAGGAATGTGAAGCACACGCACGTGAGGAGAGGGCTGCTGAATGAGAACGACAAAAGAAAATGCTGATAGAACAGTTGGAAAGTGAGAAACTGAAGCAGAAAGCCCTTCTGCAAAAGCTCAAGCTCGCAGAGGTATCAAAGGTGCAGTTAGGAACGAAAAGAATTGGTATGTTTGTGTTCAGCTGCAGAGAAGAAATGTTTGGTCGGCGTGAGTTATTCTCTCTTGGGGTGAATGACCTGGAACCTCTTCATATCATTTCAGTCAAGATAGACGCTCAGCTAAAGCATGAAAGAGAGATGGGCAGCCAGGCACTTGCAATTAGTAGGAGCGACCTCTACGACTATCTCAGGTCAGATGAAGACAGGGGTTGTCCCAACATGGCCACAAAAGAACATTCAGTTTTATTTGCAAGTGATGTGGCTATCTGTAAAAGTGCAATCAAAGGTACATCGACTTCGGCAGCGCATACTCTGCGAGACAGGTCTGATGTACGGGCTAGTGAAGACACCGAGTCTTCTGTTATACCGACTGCAACAGGGAACCTGTTGGTGGCCGTATGCTGTGTAGCACAGGCTGCGGTAGTGGATGACATGGGTATGGTAGTGTACCCTATAAATGAGCCTCCTCAAGATGCAGTGATAATAATGTCTCGGGGTCACGCAGAACCAAGTTGTCCGAGAGAACTGGAACAGAGTGCACAAGCACTAGTCGAAGAATAAAGAGTCGAGTCTCAGGTCCCGTACTCATTCTATGATGATGAAAGTAGCCGAGATGACACAGCTGAAGTGGTTAATAGTGCTGAAAAGCAAAGAGGACATACAGCCACACTGATAGAAAGAGAGTCCGAAGAGTCTTACTTCCCCAGTTCAGTGTTATTGGAGCAGTGAGAAAGGATACTTGTGCTCTTTGCTGTTTTACGTTGAACAGGTCACTTCTTCTATGACACCTGGACCATTAGTGGCTTACGAGTCCAAGCAAGGCATTCATGCAGTCTTTCAGACGCTGTCGTACTGGTGCGCTTGAAGGCGACTACAACAGGAAAGTAGGCATTACTGCATTGACGCTAGCAATTGGATGGTTGAGCGTCTGATGGTCCACAGCTGTAGGTACAGGCGAGCCTACTGTCGAAAATTCTTTCAAAGCCATCCCATTCTTTCCTCCAGCCAGGTGATCAGGGCTGTTCCGCGTCTTGTATGGGACGCTATAACTTGAGCATCAAACCAAAATTACCAGTGGCTTTTTTGGATCTTGATTGTGGA